TAAAAATCTGTTTTTATAAAAATTCATATTTCAGGTTTTATAGAAATAAATAAAAATGGATGTTTCCTCCTGCTGGCCATGGCCTTAAGCCAATTAGGACTTCACTTTCACACGATTTATCGCCAAATACCAATGAAAACCCTTCCCCCGTGATCCTCGGCCAGGCTGAGAGGTGACTTCTCATCCGGGAGGGAAACCCGCCCCGCACTGTTTTTATAAAAATTCATATTTCAGGTTTTATAGAAATAAATAAAAATGGATGTTTCCTCCTGCTGGCCATGGCCTTAAGCCAATTAGGACTTCACTTTCACACGATTTATCGCCAAATACCAATGAAAACCCTTCCCCCGTGATCCTCGGCCAGGCTGAGAGGTGACTTCTCATCCGGGAGGGAAACCCGCCCCGCAGGAGACCAACTGCTAAAAGGGCTCCGGTGTGGCTGAGGCTCTTTCCGGACTCGGATATTTAAGATGAAAAAACTGCCCAGGGGATTTCAGTGTCGCCGCCGCGGGATTTTGGCTTACACGGCGTCGTCCTCGCTCTCGGCGCACAGCGTCGTCTTGGAGCCATCCCGCAGCACGACGGTCAGCAGGCAGTCGCGGCTCTTCCCCTCGGGCGGCTGCACGTCTGGAAGAGGCAGGATCCGGCCTCAGTGAAGGAGACACCCCTGAAACCCCCCTGTCCATCCATGGCCCTTCTTGGGACAGGGCTCCAAATTACCCCCCCCAGCACGAGCAGCTCCCCCCCACTAACGAATGCAGTCATTAAAAACCTGCCGCTGCGACACCGCGCTCGTAATTTGGGTTTAATTTCAGCTCTGTCTCCGCTTACAAGTTACGATCGGGCTCTCAAAGGTTAAAAGCCAACCCAAGCAAAGAGCTGGTGAGCAGAAACTTCCACCCCCACAGCAGGAAGAAAATGGAAGGCCAGAAAATTGCCAAAAATCTCAGCTTTGTCGAAGCGCAAGACGCTCGCAGGGGTTGGATCATGAGCAAAAATAAAATCTTAAATCCACGAGGTTCGTTTATGCCTGCGCCTTCCCCTGGCCTCAGAGCTCAGTGGGACGATCCGCTGAGAATAAACCTTTGGGTTTGTGCTCCCATCGCAGCTTTGCCGCTCGCAGCTCAAGAAAGGCGCTTTGTGTGGCGGCGGCGGGCT